GGGGAGGGGGGAGGGGGGTGAAATGGGTTGGGGTGGAGGTGTGGTTGTGTTGACCGTAAGGTCCATCTACAGTATCTTGAAGTATCTAGAGGGTGGAGGGGGGGTGGGAGTGGGCTGGGGTGTGAGAAGGTTGTGTGGGGGAGTGGGTGGACTTGTGTTGACCGCCAGATCCATCTCCATCAAACCTGGACTGTTAGGAGCTTAGCGTTGATAGGGGCGTTACACCCCTACACTTTACTGTTAACGTCTTTGTCTTAGTTTTAATCAAAGTTTTACGTCACTTTCAACACAATAGGTCATATTATAAGTGCCGATGATTAGAGGTTCTAAAAGAGAGTAACAAACACAAAAAAGAAAGGTGGGGAGATACGATAGATGTTTGGTAGGAAAGGAAGAGCAAACCAAACAAGAGCACTCGCCAACCACCCACGGTTTTTTTTCTTTTACTGGTTTACCTGATCTGCTTTAGGGGCTCTCGTGGCATAGAGGTTAAGGTGTTCACCTCTCATTCAAAGCGCCTGGATTCGAATCCGGGTAGCGACGGAAACATTTTCTGCTCTAAAGTTGTCTCCTTTTATCTCCTTTCCTGCTCTCTAGCAATGTTCTGTCGTCTGCTTTCGTCTCCACTTTCTTCCTCCACCCCCTCGCCTCCTTTGCCCCCTCCTCTGGGCTCCTGACTCTTTCTGCAGCCTTTCTACTGCTACTTCTTGGCTCCTTCCTTATTGCTGTCTTTCAACCACACCCCTAATCTTCTGGGAGATAATATCTACACCTAGCCTTCTCGGACAACGGCGATAAATCTCGGAGGCCCCGTGTGCAAGTTGTGCACGTTAAAGATCCCTTGGTGGTCCAAAATCGATATGGGTAGGCTTCGGCCGCCACCCGGGCAAAATTCTAAATTTTCTACCAACTGAAAATGTTTAATGTAGTCTCGCGCGCTCATTTGAACTTATGCAGTTGCCTGCGCTGTAAAATACTTACCAACAACTACAACAACAAATGATTTTTCTCGTCCAGTCCCCCCAGCGCCTCAAGAGACCCAGGATAAGCCATTGGTCAACGGAGTCCGGCCAAGCAACGCGGACGCCACACGGGCCATTATGGTCTCACTGCCCAGTCGCTTCCTGTGTGACGTCAGCTACGGTCGGCTTAAAGAACGGGGAGTTCTGGTGCACGAAGGAGAGCGACCTCCACAAAGTATGTGTGTGTGTGTGTGTGTGTGTGTGTGTGTGTGTGTGTGTGTTTGTCTGTGTGTGAGTGTGTGTGTGTTTGTGTTCGTATGTACAAGTGTGCGTGTGTGTGAGTGTGTTTGTATGTCTGTGTTTGTATGTGTATATGTGTGTGTCTGTGTTTTTGTTTATGTGTATACGCTTATGCTTATGTGTGTTTGATTGTTTGTATGTGAGTGTGTGTTTGTGCGTGAGGGTGTGTTCCTATTTGTGTGTGTTTGTGTGTGTGTGTAAGTGTGAGTGTGTGGTTTTTTTCTGTGTGTGTAAGTGTGAGTGTGTGTGTGTGTTTGTCTGTGTGTGTTAATGTGAATGTGTGAGTGTGTTTTTGTGTGTCTGTGTTTGTGTGCGTATATGCGTGTGTCTGTGTTTGTGTTTGTGTGTTGACGTATATATGTGCATGTTTGTTTGTGTGTGTGTTTGTTTGTGTGTGCGTGTTTGAGTGTGTGTGTGTGAGTGTGTGTGTGAGGGGGGGGGGATGCGGGTGTATGTTTGTTTGGGTATGTGTGTGCTTGTGTGTAATTGTGTGTTTGTGTGTGTATGTGTGTGTGTGTGTGTGTGTGTGTGTGTGTAAGTGTGAGTGTGTGTCTGTGTCTGTGTTTGTGTTTGTGTGTATGCGTTTGTGCTGTGGTGTATGTGTTTATGTTTGTGTGTGCATGCTTGTTTGTATGCGTGTGTGTGTATGAGTGTGTGTGTGTGTGTGTGTGTGTGTGTTTGTGCGTGTGTGAGAGGTTGTGCATGTTTGTTTGGGTAAGCGCGCGCGCGCGCGCGCGTGTGTGTGTGTGTGTGTGTGTGTGTGTGTGTGTGTGTGTGTGTGTGTGTGTAAGTATGTTTTTGTGCATGAGTACTTCTGTTAGTTCTAGGACAAATTTTAATGGTAGCTGCACGGTGCTGACTTTGCGCCATTAGCTTCCCACAAAAGACGAAATGACAAGAAGTCCAAGACGCGCTACGAGGATAGATCTAACTTTTGGGAGGAATCAGTGAATTCTCAGTCCCGTGTCGGAAATGAAAACATTTTTTTAAAAGAACAGACGGTGGCCAAAAAACGAGTACTAATTCTCATATTTCACCTATAAGCCTTCAGAAACATGGATGCTCATTGTTCATCTATTAAGGTGTTTTTTTAAACAGATAAAACGTCCATACTGTACCCATGACGAATCCCCAAATAGTTATCACTAAGCATTGGTGGCGTTGGTATTTTTGTGATTAGGCTGTTGAGTTCGCAACCGTAAAATCGTGGCTTCGATCCCCGTCAAGTGTCCGACGGTGTGTCCTTCGGAAAGTCACTTTAAACAAATTTTCCTCACTTCGCCCAAGTAGGAATAGGTACCCGACTGCTATAGACAGCGAATATCTTGTCAGTTTGTTTAATTTTTAGTGGTTAACCAGCTTTTTAATTGTAGTAGTAGTAGTAGTAGTAGTAGTAGTAGTAGTAGTAGTAGTAGTAGTAGTATCATAGTTGTTCTTGTTGTTATTATCATTTACAGTATGATTATCATCATCATCATCATCATCATCATTCTTATTATCACTCATGACGTGTGTCCCCACAGACGAGGCGGCTGTAGACGGAGTCCTGGCGGACATCCAAGCCGGAAGGTCCACAGAAAGACACGGCAGACTACCGTCCGGCAGCGTCAGACCTGTGCTCATGGACGCTCAGTCCCTGCTCTGTTCCGTCAAAGGTGGCCACCAGGCTCATATTATTATTCTCGCTTTCATTTTGTTTTTGTTTGTTTTGTTTTGTTGTTTTTTTTGTTGTTTTTGGGGGTGGCTTTTTTATTTATTTTTTTCATTGATATATTTTTAGAGTCTTTTTGGGGGGGAAAGGTGGGTGACATATTAGGTGTAGAGCTTATAGTGCGGTCAAAAATTCGTGGCACAGTTTTTGTCAACTATCTCTTTAACTATTGAACACAGAATCTCTAACTTTTACACAATGACTTATATTAACACATGTTCCCTGTATTCCAGAAAATTATTTTATAAATTTACTAACGAAAAATCGCAGTCGATGGTTTCTACAGATTTGAAAAGGTTTACAGCTGGGGTAATAATATCGCTTTTAAAAGCAAGGCCGTCATGGTTTGTTGTTGTTGTTGTTGTTTTTTGCGACATTTTGCTGATTGAACACACGTTTTGAGAACCTTTAATGCAAAAAATATGTTCACCATAAAAGTAATTTCGTGTGATTTGTTTTACCTCAAAAAAGTGTCATTGATGAGCTGTGACGTAGGTGTATGCGTATGCAAAATATGTGTGAGGAGCGTGAAGTGCTGTAAACAATCTCATTTTCCGCACGACGGAGATTTATGAAAACAAGTTTTTAAATCTATCTTCAGTTGTTGTTGGAAAATATAATTTGTTAAAACAAACTGATGCAAACTACTGTGCAAAGTATGGGTGACATTAATTCACCCGTTAAAGAGATATTATTTGACGATAAGTTGCCCCACGATTTTTTTTACCGTATAGAAAAAAACCATAAAAATTGCCTATTAGGCGGGAAAATGTCGACTGCTACACTGTCATTATTTTGACGAACGACAAATTAAACCTCGATATCATTGTAAAATGGAAGCCTGCTGATAGTTGAAGGGAAGCACGTCCTACTTTTTTCCTTTCCATCTGCTGTTTCTGTTCATCTATCTTGCTGTATTTCAGCCGCTCCCTTGATCTTAGGGTAGGTAAGATTGGAACTCCTATAGCCTTCTCGGAAAGGGGGAAAAATCTCGGAGGCCATGTGTGCAAGTTGTGCACATTAAGATCCTGTGATGGTCCTAAAATCGATAAGAGTAGGTTTCAGCGGCCACCTGGACAAAGTTCAAAATTAATTCCAACCAAAACTGAAAACGCACTAGTCAGTATAAAATCATATAGAGTGCCTTCGAAATTGGAAAGTGGCTGCCCGAAGGCAAAAGGCCCTACAAAGTTGGAAAAGTGGTCACAAACATAAGAGTCAGTTGCAGTGCAGGTTGAAGAGCCAGCGGTCAACTACCCCTGAGATCTAGCAGGTTGAAGAAATAGCAGTCAACTTCCACTGAGATCTAGCAGGTTGAAGAAATAGCAGTCAACTTCCCCTGAGATCTAGCAGGTTGAAGAAATAGCTGTCAACTTCCCCTGAGATCTAGCAGGTTGAAGAAATAGCTGTCAACTTCCCCTGAGATCTAGCAGGTTGAAGAAATAGCAGTCAACTGCCCCTGAGATCGAACAGAGGAGTACAAAATAACAAGAAGAATCTTTATCTCAGCTGGCTTTCCTGTGTGTTTTCAGAAAATGCTGTGAGTCAGTACCTCATCGGAGGGGACGAGAACTGCAACCACTCCACCTGCAACTATCCCCTCAAGCCTGGGCACACCTACAGGTGGGGGAATCGTACGGTTTATGTGGCAACACAAGCATTCTTTGGCAGTTGTTTTTCTTGTTGCTGTTGTTGTTGTTGTTGTTGTTGTTGTTGCTACTGTTGTTGTTAATTTGCTGGATATTGTTTTCTGTTGTTATCTGTTTATTGTTATTTTTTAAATTAACTATATTATTTTTGTAATTTAGTAGTAGTAGTAGTAGTAGTAGTAGTAGTAGTAGTAGTAGTAGTAGTAGTATCATTATTGTTATTGTTGTTGTTGTTGTTATTGTTATTATTGTTATTATTATCTGTTTACCCACGAGTGTGGTGCAATGGTTAGGCGCTTCCCTCGCACGCTAGAGACCACAGTTTGATTCCTTATGGAGAGAATTTTTGCCGAGTATCTCTCTTTTGGGATGTTGTGCCCTTCTCAAGCTCAGTCAAACAGAGGTGCCAAGCTCAAATTGAACTTGAGGTTGTGGCTGAACCGGACCAACGCTCTCAGAACAGTCGAAAACCAAGCAATGATATGAATCAGAGCAGATAAAAGTTTCAATAATACAAATCAAGGCCTACCAATGTTGGCTCTTATGCCAGTTTCTCAGAGCTGAATGTTTGACATCTTTTTCTCGACAAGACGTTTATTTGATGTTTGGGGTAAGATTCGGTGATATGGAGATTCTCAGGATGGACTACCTAAAATTATCTCGGGGGTCAGATATGATTGTTCTCCAGGCCGGGAGCAGCCCGCGGGCTTTGAGTGTTTGACGCCTGTGTTGTGACTATAAAAAGACACTTTCCCCCTAACTACCAACTTGTTCGTGTTGGAAATCGTTCTGTATTGGTGTAATATTGCGCATTTCGTAATGTACACATGTATGTATTTCTAATTATGTATTTATTCATGTATGTATGTATTTCTGATAAAATATAATGTATATATACATGCATGTTTATCATTGTAACCCAATTTTCCCCACAGGTACAAAAAAATGTAATTATTTATTCTTATCTATTTAGACTTCAAGCGTTCGCCTGCACAAACGCTGGTTGCACCAGGACTAGATGGTCCCATCCAGTCAGAACAGGTAAGCTAAAAGTTAATCAGGTCAGTCTGCGTCGTTGATGACTGAGAAATACATGTCAATTAAATGCTGCTTGTTGTTCTTGTTGTTGGTGGTGGTGGTGGTGTGGTGGTGGGGGTATAGGAAGTGGTGATGCTGGTGGTGGTGAATGTGCTGCTGCTGCTGCTGTTGTTGTTGTTCTTGTTGTTGTTGTTGTTGTTGTTGTTGTAGTTGTTGTTGTTGTTGCTCTTCTTCTTCTTCTTC